TTTTTTTTTTTTTGATTTTTTATTGTTGGTTGTTCAAAACATTACAAATTTCTTGACATATCATATTCCACACTTTGATTCAAGTGGGTTATGAACTCCCACCTTCACCCCATACACAGATTGCAGAATCACATCAGTTACACATCCATTGATTTACATATTGCCATACTAGTGTCTGTTGTGCTCCGCTGCCTTTCCCATTAAAATTTGTTCTTATGACAGAAGTAATAATTATATTTTCACTATAAAATAATAGCATAAAGTCAAAATCCCCCTTAGTAACTATTTAACTTACATTTCTGTATAATTTCTCTCCTTTTTATATTCTAAAATATTGTTAGACACAAGAAATTCACAACTACAATAAAATTAACAAATGTAGAAGTATGAATAGTAAAAAGGGAACATATCTCAGAGCCCTGCCCCACTTCCCCTCCCTATCTACTGTTAACAATTTGATGATAGCCTTCTAGATCTTTGAAAAGTGCACTTTACAAGTACATACATATGTATGTACTTAGGCAGATGGTTTTATGTTTGTACAAATTGAATCATATCTGTTATACAAAAACTTCATTTATTCATTTTATTTATTTACTAGCTTTCCATGTCAGTACATTTAGTTTTACATTGTTAACAGCTGCATAATATTCCATAGTTTAAGTGTACCATGATTTATTTAAGCTTTCCCTTATTGAAGGACACTGGAATTGCCTCCTGTTTGGGGTTTTGATTATTTGTTATGACTACAATGATACCCTGAACATCTTCGCATATATCTCTTTGTGTACTGTCTAAGAATTCTTTAGGCTAGATATCTAGAAATGCAATGAATGGGTCAAAAGATAGGTACATTTGAATTTTATATTTTCAGATTTTATAATTTAAAAATTAACACTTTAACCACTATTTATTTCCCTGTCTTCTGCAGAGAGTTCTATCCTGGGAACTGACATTGAACTTCAGATTATAGACAACGATGTTATCAGCATGGAATTTTTCTTCAAAGCCTGGCTGCATAACAGTGGAACAGACCAAGAACACATCCATCTCCTTCTTCCTTCACAGTGTTTCAACAACATTTCCAGTGCCAGGGATAATCCAAGTACACAACCCACCAAAGATATATCATATAGGTTATAAATAGTCTTATCTAGGATTAGGACTGTAGTTCAGTGAATCATCAGAATACAGAGTAGTTGAGGCTTAGAGATTGGATGAGGCTGTCCAGTGTTAGCACAAAGATTAAGAGGAAAACTTTTTAAAAGTAACACAGTTAAAAAGCTAGACCTAATTAAGCCTAGATAGTAAGAGCTAATTAGTTTAGGAGCAAAAACTTAGATACCTCAATGATAGGTCATCCGCTACACTACATAAGAACACAATCATATATTTTCTCAGTATTCTCATTTTTAATGTGGCAAACATTATTGGCACTATAATTTGAGTCATTTGATACCTCAATATCCACAGGACCTATGGCAAGAAGAAAAGAGCCAATATTAAATAGAAATCTCTCTAGGCAGGTACAAAATTGAGAAAACTAAAGCAACTCCAAAGGCAAGCCCTAGGGAGAACAACTAGTGTTCACAGACCATGTTCCCAAGGCAGTTTGGGCAATAATTGAAACTAAGAGATCAATCCTATGTTCCAGGCATGCCAGCAAGGTTCTGCATATTGTTCTGGCTGATCTTGGTACTTAACTAGATAGTAAATGAGGCCATTTCTATTCTCCCTATCCCTTTGAAGGTTGGGTCAGGGACTAGATTAGCAGGGCCTGCAATCAATACCGTCACTCTGAGCTTGGGAAAGCCAATTGCTTAGGGACCAGCTTCTAAGGGAAAGGATAAAGTGGATTGAATAGAACATTGGTAGTGGCTACAAACATCACTGAAGGTTGAAGGTTAAGTGGGATGTGATACTTCCTGGAGCCCTTCACAGGCTCTGAAATGATACACTGGGGTTTCTGTCTCCTCTGAGGGCTCTTTCTTGACCATTAGCAGTATATTTGAGTTTTGTGTTTGTTCTCTTTTCTTCATCTATAATAGAACTCTGCTCTGACCATTGTTGCTTCAGGACAGGGAAGAGCCTTTTGGAGGTATAATTAAGTAAAGTTTATGATTTCCCAAGACCTTTTCTTGCTAGGGATAGCCATCAGAACTCTGCTTCCCTCCAGGTAGCTACTGACGTTATACAGTAGCTAGTTTATAATTAACATTATTGAATTTTCTTTCTCTGCCAAGCAGTATGGTAACTTGTTTCTTTGAATTATCCCTTCTCGTGTTTATAATGATGTAATGAGGCAGGTACTATTACCATATGTCATTGAATCTAAGATGATATCAATTATAAGATACATCACTATTTTATGTACCACTAAGAAAGAAAACATGCCAATTAAACATGAAACAGTGTTTCCTTGTTACTTAGAAGTATTATTTTATCTTTATTGAGAGAGTTCTTTTAGATTAGAGTAGTAAGTGCTAAGAATGTCTGTCTGGCCAATGGCAATTGTAAGACAGATATAGAGTAGTGTGAGGGGGGAAATATGTCTTCAAATCAATTAAGTACAATATTATACCTGTTTTATACATGAGAAAGCTGAGACAAAGAAATTAAATACTTTTCCATGGGTGTATAGAAAAATTAATAGCAGAGCCACCATTTGAAGCTAGACAATTCCAGTGCCCATTCTTTACCCTTAGGATCAAAATCTGTATTTCATACATCTGACCACTTGCAGCCCAGAGAATCAAAATGCACATCTGTCTGCCTCCAGGCCCTGAGCCTTTATCCATCACTAACCTGCCCCATGCTAGACAACTCTGAATAAAGGAGCTAGAGGTTCACTTTTCTCATTAGGAGGGTGGGGGCCCTACTACAACCAGTCTTTCCTCCACTGTTACATGACATCTGCCTATAATGCTAATTAAAATTTCTGTGGCTTCCCCCACACCCTTTTTCCAAGGCTTTCAACACCAGAGTCAGAGTCAGAATGTTCATATCCATCTGTAATCATGTTTCAGAATCTTCAAATCTTAAGGTACATATAGAACTTAGACCAAGACTTCAGTCAGTTGGTGTACTGGGGACATCTTCCTTGGAGCCCAGATGTTCAGGCACAGTTGGAATGAGGTCAGGGGAAATTAGGCTTCCTCTAGGGTGATGTGATCTGACTGAAATTATAAACAACCACAATAAAGATCATACTGTACTCAGCTATTATTTTTTAAACTAATGCATTGCCTCACATATGGAGTTGTGGACATGTGTCTTACTACAAAAATAATGAATGAAGCAAACAAAACAAAAACTGTGAACTCTCCTACTATAGTAGGCTCTTAGGAGGAATGCTCAACTCATCTCTAGGAGCTTCACTTAGAGATCTTGCTCTGGCAAACAGAGCATGCAGGCAGTCACAGATTAATATCTTTTCCTGTTCTCCAGTATGGACTTTGCCACCTCTGCACCTCAGCTCTGGGTGGTGAGAAGCATGCCTGCATCTAGATCTAAGCCCTGCTAAACAGTTTTTCCAGTCTGTGTAGTCCTCAGCCCTAGCTGCAATAAGAACCACATGAGGGCAGGGCATGGTGGTGCATGCCTATAATCCCAGTGGCTCATGAGGCAACTTAGTGAGACTCTATCTCAAAATAAAATATAAAAAAGCACTAGGGATGTGGCTCGGTAGTTAAGTACCTTGGTTTCAATCCCTAGTACCCCTCCAAAAAAAAGAACCACTGGGCTGGGATTGTGGTTCAGCAGTAGAGTGCTCACCTAGCATGTACGAGGCCCTGGGTTCTATCCTCAGCACTACATAAAATAAATAAATAAAGATATTGTGTCCAACTACAACTAAAAAACAAATAAATAAATAAATGAGAACCACTACAAAACTTTATAAAAATACATATATCTGGGCTTCATCCCCAGAGATCATGATTTAATTGATCTGGTTTAGACCCAGACATCAGTATTTTTCAGAAGTTCTCTTTAAGTTAGGCACAGTGGTGCACATCTGTAATCCCAGCTACTCAGGAGGCTGAGGCAGGAGGATCACAAGTTTAAGGGCAGCCTCAGCAACATAGTAAGACCCTGTCTCAAGAAAAAATATTTTTTAAAAGTAGGTGGAAAAAGGGACTGTGGCTGTAGCTCAGTGGTAAAGTGCTTCCCTCACATGTGTGAGGCACTGGGTTCAATCCTCAGCACCACATAAAAATAAATAAAGATATTATATATCCATCTACAACTTAAAAAATGTTTTTTTAAAAAAGTGGGTGGAAATGTAGTTCAGTGGTAAAGTACCCCTGGATTCAATCCCCAGTACGGGACAGGGCAGGGCAGATTTCTCTAGGTGATTTTCATTGCAACCATCATTAAAAACTTTAGCTAGATGAACACAGCTGCCCAGTACTAAATACGAGGGACTAGAAGTAGAGAAGTCAAGCAAAGAGGAAATGAGGGGAGCTGAAATCCTAGGAAAAGTCCCTCCAACTGACTTTCTGTGCTCTAGGAGATACCCGGCCAAGAGATAGCTCACCCAGAATTAATATCTATGTCTTATTCACTGGGTTCAGGATCCAGTGAACACAAGCTGTTAGGTTTCAGTCCAAAGGCATGAGAGATAAAGGGATTCCATGTATAAGTTGATTACCAGCTGAACCTGACATTTATATTGCCACTGTTTTTTTCCATATTATTTCTACTTTTGTTTTTACCTCACTAGTCATTTCACAGTTCATTCCTGTCAACTACCAGCCTTCTCACAAGTACTCAACATTTGTAGATTTGTAGTTGTCAATATTCAACTCAGGTATGTTCTATTGAAAACTTTTTAATATCAAGGATTCAAGCCTAATGCAATGGAATACTGAACCCTATAACATGAGGCTATAACTGCTGGAGCAGAAGCTAAATACAGACAAAGAGTGTAATACCTAGATAAATAGATCATACCCAGTCTCATCCCTCCTCAGAACTCTTGTCTGATGCTGGTTGGAGTGATGCTCCAGGGCCCAAAATCCAATAATTAGGTTTCTTTGAAAAATTAAAAATAAGCTACTTCAGAAACTTATTCCTTCCATACCCCTGAATGTCCCTAGAAGAGCCCACAGAGAAATAGTAGCAGTCATCTGACTGCCTGACTTCTGCTTTCCTGCTCTTCCTTCTTCTGGCCTGCAATCTTGCCAAATCTTAGCCACAGGGAAGCAGCAAAGACAAAATTTCCTTCTGTGATTACCAAAAGGCCCCTGCATGTTTTGGCATCAGCTGCCTGCTCCACAGAGGACACAAATTTCTCTCAGACTGGATTACAAGCCAGATCTCTTGCTGTGAGACAGTTGCTCAGCCCACCTAGAAGTAAAACAAGTAAAAATCATGTCAGATTCAGAAAATGTGTTAACTATCATGTAAAGCAATAGAAATACTGTTTCTATTTTGCACCTGGTTTACCTTCCCAAACCAATTGTGATTTCCTCTTCCCATTCTCCTGCCTCCTCCCATCCCTCCTTTGCCTGGTAGAAGTGAAATGGGTGGAAGATGTTCTCTTAATGACATAGCCCAAAGTAACTTGTGACCCACAGTCTCTCCTCCAATGCCAATTTTACTATAGTGTGCCTGAAATGTGATCTCCAAGAGCGACTTCTCAGCCCATCCCTGCTCCCTGGTACAGCTGACAGTGCCTCCAGAATGGATGACCCCAAAGGAGACCTCAGCACGCTCTACCAGATGGCTTCCCAGTCCTCAGCCTCTTGTTACAAACTCCAAGTAATCAAGTATGGTCCAAGGAATCTCCCCAATCTATGAAAATGCTATTATTACTGGTTCCATACCTAAGAAGTCCAGAGATTTAAACTACATTTTCAAGTGTCAGACAGGCAAAAGCCAGTTCCAAGGTAGCTGATACAAGTTTGGCATGAGAAACCAAGGTCAGGCTACTCAACACACGATGGGAAAAGAGGAGGTGGTGAAAAGAAGCGCTGCTGCAGAACACTTTGAGGTCTTTATGAGAACTGGAAATCCAGAAAGTCTCTGAACACAGGAAAAGCATGATCACTAGAAAGGTGTTTAATTGTCAGTGAATGTTCATTGAATGCCTACTATATTTAGACATCAGAATAGAAATTCAATTTTCAAGGAGCAAATGGCACGCAGACTCTATCCCTGCCCCTCCCATTTCTCTAAGTATTAGAAATTCTAAGGTAGAATGAACAATGATGGCAAAGGCCACTTTTACTATTTCCTAGTTCCACAGATCCCATGCACAGATTCCTGAGCTTTGAGAATCTTCTGTGTGCAAGATGTCACGCTAGGTACTAGCCATATAAAACTGAATAATTCATGGATCCTAATCTAAAAGCTTTCACAGCGGGGTCTTAGACTTATGCTGAATTTAAGTGTATCTGGGTAGAAGTTCTAGATATCACTGAATAGTCTCTCTCTGCCATCATCTCTTCCCAGGGCTCTAAAATCTAGCGGACTCTGCGAGTCATTGACATATGGACTCCCCTTCATCCTCAGACCCACAAGCTGTTGGCAGCTGGACTGGGATGAGCTGGAGACAAATCAGCAGCATTTTCATGCTTTGTGTCACAGCCTTCTGGTGAGTATTCTGTCCACAGGTGAGAAAGAGGTCAAGTACCAGCCTCTGAAAAATAGCCACAATTTCTTTCCTAATCTAGACCTGCTTCAACCCTCAAGAAGACAGGGAGGGAAGCTGGAAATACTTTGATACTTGGAATAAATATTATTTACCTTTGTTGACTGTATGCTATAGAGAATAATTCCTGAATTTAGTTATATAATACTAAACTTCAAAATCCCTTATTTTACAAGCTTAACATTTAAATGGCAGAGAATTTTCCACAATAATATATTTTAAAACCTACTTCCCTCCTAACACTGTGCTGCTAGACATTATAGTTCATTTAAATGAACATCCCTTGGTCTGTACCAGACTCTGTGCTAAGCCATAGATATATATTTAATGAAGACATAATAGACATTTTCTTTTCCCTCAAGAAACTTATTCTCTAATAGAAGAGATAAATAATTTTTTAATTGTGAGAAGTTTATAAAGGAAAAGAATAAGCTGCTATAAGAGAGCCTATCTGTGGCAGTAACATTTAAACTGAGATCTTCAAGATGAATGGAAATTAGCCAGGTGAAAAGTGGTAGGAAGAACACTCAAGGCAGGGAAAGGAATGTGTGGCTACTTGAAGACTGGAAAGTGCTAAGGGAAGGATTAAGAATGGAAAACCCATTATGCAACCAAAAAAGAAAGAAACTGTGGAAGTAACTCAGTGGCAGAGTTACTCAGTGCAAAGTCCTGGGTTTCATCCCCAGCACTATGAAGAGCTGGGGCTGGAGGGTGAGGGGGAGCCATTGTGACTAAAACATAAAGGAGGGAGAGAGGCAATAGGTGGGGTTGAAGAAGCAAGCAGGGGTCAAATCATGCAAAACTTTAGACTAAATTAAAGACTTTGGAGTTTAAGCAGAGAAAGAAATCATGAGAAATTATATCATCTCTCTAAAACTTTAAAATATTACTTGGACAGAAATTAGAACTAAAAACTAGCAGAAGCAAGAATGGAAACAAGAAAATGAGGTAGAGAACATTGTGGCTTGGATTAGAATATTGGAAGTCAAGATGAGAAAAGTAAACAAATAGAGAAATAGAAATATCAGAACTTAGTGTAGGATTGGATGTTGGGAGTGAGGAAGAGTAAGTAATAAATAACTCCTTGGTTTCTGACTTGAACAATTAGAGGTTTGTCACTCCCTGAAATGGAAATAAAAGAACACACACACACATACACACACACACACAATGGAATACTTAGATATCAAGATAAAATAACTGCAAATAGAATCCAAAGACAGATAAAGAATGAGGATTTGACCTAGTAGAAAGTAGTTGATCAGGACAGCACGGCCTTGTGTCTCTCTATCAGAAGCCAACTTCTTTTCCTGTTTCAAAGCCCACACTCCCTTTTAGGGTCCACCCACTGAGTTCCTGTTTCCTATCTGAAGAACACCCACCTCCTGTCTTTGCAGAGCAGAGACAGCAGACCAGTTCTGATTGTCAGTGCCCAACAGCTCAGTTTACTTTTTGGTTTTTTTGTTTGTTTGTTTTTTTGGTGCTAGGGATTGAGCCCATGGCCTTGTACATGTGAGGCAAGCACTCTACCAACAGAGCTATATCCCCAGCCCTCAGTTTACTATTTACTCCACCCAATTCCTCAGAATCCTGGAGAAGATATATCACTTAGGAGAATTTCTCACGTGTCTTCATTACAGTGTGTGTGTATGTTTGGTGCTGGTGATCAAACCCAGAGCCTCACACATGCTAACAAGTGTTCTACCACTGAGCTATACCCCCAGCTTCCTCAATACATTTTTATAGTATATAATATTTTAAACATACATTGGCATTTTAACACACTGCTACAGTGAATATAAATTTTATAGAAAATTATACCCTTCAGCACTTTTACTAGTAAGGTATCCCAAGAAAATAATCAGAAGAAGGGGCAAAGATGCGTGTACAGGATGTTCATCTCCATGTTATTTATCATGGTAAAAAAAAATGGTAACAACCTAAATGTCCTAAATAGATAAGTGATTAAATATAAATAGGAGAAATATTATAGGATCTATAATTGGCCAAGCAATGAAATATTATGTAGTCATTAAAAGTAAGGATGGGAAAAAGTATTCACTTCCATCCTGGCTTACATACACAAGATCAAAGTCTCCCTGCAGTTAACCTCATGGTTAATTAAACATCTGTGTTTATTTGTTTGTTTGTTTTGTTTAACAATATTTACTGACCACTATGTGCCAGGCACTGTCCTAGGGATGAAATGACCTTATCTTTATCAATCCTCTGTCATGCAAACACACAAGTATATGATTGACCCATGACTAATAGATACCCATTTTTTTGGAGTACTTAATAAATATAGGCACTTAACCAAGTGTTCTGTATGCTTTACCTCAGTTAATCCTCACAGTACCATACTATGTGTGGTAGAGATTGCTGTCCTTATTTTTACAGATGGAGAAAGCTGTAAAGAGACCAAGAGATTTACCAATCATCACACAGCTACCAAAGTGGCCAAGTCAGAATTTGAACCTAGTTCTATTTGACTACAAAGCCCACGCTTTAAACTTCCCTGTGTATACACAGATAAGTACAAACTACAACACTGAGGCTAATCCTCCCTTCACTTAACCCCCACGGTTCTGTATTTCACTGGGCTTGAAGTCACTTTTAAAGTGGCTAGGCACTCATAACCACTCTTCACTCATTTTGTGCCATTGTTCTCTCAGCTCTGTTCATTCCATCACTGAATTAAAGACCACTCTCCTAGTGTAGAAAAGAAAAACAGTATTGAAATGGCTCTTCCTTATTGCTTTCTACATAACATCTCCAAGCAGCAAAATTCCTGCACAGCAGTGTTACAGAGAGAAGAATTTTTCACAAGTTTCAGCTTATTCATTCAACCACAATTCACATTGTGACAGACTCTCGAGTTTTAGCCTCCCGCACCCTGTTGTCACAGGTTTACCACACTTCCTTAGTTTTATCCTTCCTCTTGTATTCTTTATTACACTTTTTTCATATGTTCTTTTAAGATTTGATGTTAAGTCAGCTCCTCTCTTGCCTTCTCTTTCTCACTATGAGTTTCCCTTCCACCTAACTTCTCATTCTAACTTCTGTCTTTCTGTTAATAGCAGCACCACCATTGTCTAGTCACCCAGGCTTGAAACCTCAGTCACTTTCAGCCATCTCGCCCTTTACACCCATTTCACCACTAAGTCACATTGTAACACTGAGGTGGAACTGCCCTTTCTTGTCTGTTCCCAGGCTGTTCTCAGCAAGACTTCTTCAGTAAATTCCTAACTGGCTTCCCTACCCAATCTCTCCCTCTTCTAATTTGCCTGGTACATTGGTACCATATTAATTGGCATGTTTTTTGTTTGTTTGTTTTCACTACTAGGAATTGAACACAGGGGCACTCTGCCCCTGAGCTATGTCCACATGTCCACAGTTCCTTTTTTAAAAAAATATTTATTTTTTTAGGTGTAGATGGACACAACATAATGCCTTTATTTTTATGTGGTGGTAAGGATCGAACCTGGGTCCTGCCCGTGCTAGGCAAGCGCTCTACCGCCAAGCCAAAATCCCAGCCCCTCCTTTTTTTTTTTTTTTTTTTTTTGAGTACCAGGGATTAAACCCAGAGGCACTTAACCATTGAGCCACATCCCCATCCCTTTTTTTATTTTTAATTTTAAGACAGGGTCTCATTGAGTTGCTTGGGGCCTTGCTAAATTGCTGAGGCTGGCTTTTGTAATCCTCCTTCCTCAGCCCCCAGAGCCATTGGGATTACAGGTGTGTGCCACCACTCCCAGCAATTAATTAGACTTTTAATGGGGATTGGGGGGCAGAGTCTAATTCTCTAGAGAAATTCTTCATATTTTTACCTATTTTCTTTAACATACTAATCATAGGCAATTTGAAGTTCTCATCTAACCCCAATACCAGAGTCAAGTGGATTTGTTCTTATTGTCTCTTTTTTCTTTCGGTTTTTAGATATATTTTACTGATTTTCAGCATATTTGACAATATTTTAGTGAAAGATGAACTGTCAATAAATAAATTGTAGTGGCACATGCCTATAATTCTAGCTACTCAGAAAGCTGAGACAGGAAGATCAAAAGTTCAAGACCAGCCTGAGCAACTTATTGAAACCCCGTCTCAGAATTGAAAAAAAAGAGAGAGAGAGAGAGAAAGAAAAAACTAGGTTTATATCTCAGTGATAGAGTGCCTCTGAGTTCAATCCCCAATACTATAAGTAAGTAAACAAATAAATAATCAAACAAAATTGTAGAGTCTCCAGTTGGTACAGGCTTCCTCTAGAAAGGGCTCACCCTTCCCTGCCCCAGGCAGATAAAGTGGCAGCTTATCATCCTACTCTACTCAGGAACTGTGCTGAGTCAAGGCTAGGCTGTACTCATGGTCTCATTTTAGTCATGGTATGTTATGGCCTTTCAGAGTTCTCAACTGAAAGCCTAGTGTACTGTGTATATCCCCTACCTTGAATCTAATCACTGCCTTCCAAAACTGCTAAAACACTGTTTTTTAGAGGTTTTCTCCTTAAATGTTTTTGCCTCCTGACATATACAACCCTATGAAAATGTACTGAGTGGAAATTTAGCTTGAGTCCCATTCCTCCCTACCACTAGGTCTCCACCTAAAGATTTACTGGTTTCTCTGTTCCTTACAAGTGCCTCATGAGTCAGAAATCCTAGATTCCTGAGCCCCACTAGCACCACCACCATCCTGGCCAACCCAGAATCAACACATACCCTCAAAGTAAAAGGAGTTGTAATAATTCCCTCTTCTGTCTGGATTTCTCCCTTTCTAGAAACTGAATTACCTCTAATCCTCATTGCCACAGCAACTTCTCACTGCCTTCGAACAAATTGTCCTGTAAATTATGCAGTTTTTCTACTTGTTCTAAGCAGGAGAACCTGTTTCCCATTAGCCATTCCAACCCAGACACAGAAGTAGATGCTTATTAAATGCTTATTTAT